CTGGGCATATACTGAAAGGGAAAGAAAAGATAAAAAAAAAGAATGAGGGCATATTTACTATCCTGACTTTCTTGCCTGCATCTGGGCATAATTATGCATGGATTCATCCACAAAAGTCATCGGGTCTTCCTCCGAACATACGGGGTGGCCATTTTATCTGTATCTGATCCAAAATTGATTAAATGAAAGCTACAAGGAACATAATTCTACCCACGGTATGTCAGCTATGGACAACCAGATGGTGGTAACAGGTACTCGTCGTACCAATCCACAATCGTGAAACGTAACACCAAGCCAGTAGACAAACCTTGGAAATGAAAGTGGAGGCGGAAAAATGGTGAAAGAAGAAGGAAAAAGAGAAGAAGAAGGAGAAGAGGAAGAAGGGGGAGAAGAAGAAGAAGAGGAAGAAGAACAAGAAGACGCCAGAGTTCCCGAACGCGACTTGATTAAGATAATCTTGAAGCACAAAAACGGAAGACGAGCTCCCGTTAGGCGGAAGTGACCTGACTGGTTTCGCCTGGCCGCCTGCTAGGACTCATCAGGGGCCATTAAGTCGGCTTGATGAACTTTGACTATCCACAGTATTAATAGCTAGAAAAAATGCCAGCCGAGTACGACACAAGTTGAAACACAACCCCCTTCGAATGGGTAGAAAAAACTGTAGTTTATCGGATAAGAGTCATGGAAGAGAGCGGGGAGAGGGTGGCTTATCAACTGCAATGGGCAGTTCAGGAACTGGCCCTGGACCCAGAGCAAAGGTGGCAACTGGGTAACCGTTGGCCGTACCCGACCGTACCCAACTGTAACCGGCAGGTTATGGGCAGGTACGGGTACCCTTCCGGAGGGGGCCATCGGTATGGGCAGGCATAAATTTTATTTGTGGATTTCAGGGCACGCACTGTTGCACTGCGTGGAGATCACGGGCAGGCATGGGCGGGTATTGGCGGTGAAAAGGGAAAAACCGCAGGTATGGGCGGCCAAGAAAAAAAAAAGCATGGGTACAGCCATTATAAGGTGGTGAAAAAAAAAATCAGATGGGTATGGGCGGGTAAGCAATTATGTCGGGTAACCGTACGTAATATCCACCTTCCCCCCTCTCTTCCCAGGAAATATACAGACCGGCGGAGCTGTTTTTTCTGAGGCACATTTTTTTTCCCTGGCGCGAACGACGAGAAAAAGATTTCAGGAAATAGCCTCCCAACTTCGAAATTGGCCGCTTTCGAAATTGGAAGGCTCCAACCTCGCCTCAAGGAGTTCCCCCTTGGAAATTGGCCGCTCGTCATGGTTGTACCCGCCGCCCTTCTGTGTGCATGCCACTGCATGGCCATCATCCGCCCGCCGTGGTTGTACCCGCTGCCATTCGGTGTGTGCTGCATGGCAGAGAGAGAGAGAGAGAGAGAGAGAGAGAGAACAGGTAAGTCTCCAACCGTGTGGCTGGCCTCACTCTACTTTCATCGATAGGATGAGCAAAATCAAATGAATCTTCTGCAAAGGGTAGTTAGAGGGGATAGGAGGCGGCTAGGGACGATTGGGGGCGGTTGGGGACGGTTAGGGGCGATAAGGGGCGGCTAGGGGCGGTTGGGGACAGTTAGGGGTGGTTAGTGGAGGTTGGGTCACAAATGCGGATGGTTAGGGGCGATTAAGGGTGGCGGTTAGGGGCGGTTGCGGACATTTAGGGGAAGCTAGGGGCGGTTGGGGACAGTTAGGGGTGGTTAGGGGAGGGTGGGTCACAAGTGTGGATGGTTATAGGTGGGTGCATACAATTGTGAGTGGGTACAGGTGGGTAGCGGTGAAAAACAAAATTGGTAGGGTATGGTACAGGAGGTTAACAAAAGGTTTGGGTGTAGGTGGCCATGGGTAGTTTCGAAACAGAAAGTCCATGGGCAGTTATGGGCAGTCACAGTCTGAAGGGATTCAGGTAGGGCAGGTATGGGTACACTTCTTTTTTTTTTGAGCAGGTAAGGGTGGGTAAAGGTCCGGTAGGCCATCTATACAGTGGGTATGGGTGGTTAGTTTTCAAAGAGGGTATGGGTAGGTAAGGTACAGGTATTCCAAAAAATCCCAGTTGCCACCTCTGACCCAGAGGAATGGACTTGGCTGCTCCCTCAGAGAAAAAGGGGGGGTGCAACAGGCCATATAACTGTCAGTCAAATCCACCTACAGAATGCTCAGGCCCAAGAGGAATTTAAGGGTGGTTATAGATTGCTGGGCCCGTCAGATAAATGTCGACCGCTCCCTCCTGATGCCGATACGCTGGTTTAGAGACATCCGGATAGCCCTGCTTCCATAATTCATTCTTGAGAGCAAACAGAAAAGCAACAACCATATTTTCAATGGACAGATACGATCTGGCCCTGTGAAGAAAGGACGAGATCACAACAATCTTTTGTTGTCGCCCAGTGAATGACACATAATCTTGAATACTCTGAAACTTGATCCTACCATTGACCTCATCCTTCTGGTTCTTCATTAAAGGAAAGCAAAGTACTCCATTCCGCCCTTCGAAAACTTTCAGAGCACACCCGAGGAAGTCCCAACTACAATCAAAGCTTGCTCTTTCCAACACCAAATTCGCATCATAACAACAACGAAACGTCTCGATCAACTGACGTCCCTTCTCCTTCGTAATTTCATCCTCCTTCTCACAAACAACAAATAGAGAAGCATCATCGACTAGTCTAACTCCCTGAACTAACTTCTGATCTGACCCTAATCCATTCAAAAACACATACTCATTATACGCACACAACAGACATGCCAACACAGGACTTGATGATTTCGCCATAGGTATTCCAACTTCCTGTTTCAACAATGGACCGGATGCCTTAACATACGTATGCCTCAGCTCAAACACAACAAAGGAAACTATCGTACCTCTTGATATATGCTTCCATCCCATCTCCAACTTACCTTTAGTCATTTTAACGCCGTTCCCCTGTTTCCGAACATCAACGTCTTCAACACCCTTTCCTTGCTAGAATCCAACCACCCATTCTAATGCATGTCGGATGGAGTGGTGGGGGAGATTAGAGAACATCTCCTTAATGTCAAAGGAGGCTCCCATAATCACATCGTTATTGGTCAGTCCTCTGTTAACCTCCCTCAACCGCTTAAGCAGCCCATCCACACTTGGAAGATTGAAATTGCGTCCCGCAGGCAGATTCCACAAAATAGCGTTCACCGAGTGTGCAACAATTTTTCCTCCAGCCACCAAAGGCTCTGGGTAGGAGGGGCAGATAGGTCGCCATCGCATAACGTCGTTGTGTTTTGGGATGCAATATGCCTCCCCGAATTTCCCATCTTTCTTCCAACAACCCACCTTCATCTCGTACTCACATTCCTTTAGTACCGCGGTGGGCTCCTCCTGATATACCTGAAATGAGGGATTGCCGACAAAAAGCTTAGTCATACCTCCTTGAT